TCATTGATTCTATTCCCATTCAACATCATCTTTCAACTTCCTGTTTTTACCAAATTTTTCAAAACTTTCCTGTTTGGATACAAGCCCCTGACACTTTTCCTGTTTCAATGGCATCTTAAATTTGACCTCCAAAATGCGAGATATCAGATTTTAATTCTAACACATTAGAAGGACGAAGAGCCGTACAAATAGCATCCACCTTACTCTGAAGTGATTTTGTGTCTTCCTTTATACACTGTGTGACTTAAATATTGCAGTTCCCGTTTAAGGAACTGATACTTGGCATCATTTAATTTCACATTATATTCAATAAAACGATCTAACACTACCTTTAAAGCCTAGATTAAGCATGAATCATTATCAAATTTTCCTGCTGTAAGTCACAACAATTTACCTACATTCAAGGACAGTTATGTTCTTATATCACTATTTTCTGGCTTCATTGAGGGCCAAAATTACATGTTTCAGTTTTTGGGGCAGCAATTCGTCAAAAATGCATTAAATTGAACATTTTTTCAGATTTTGATTTCTTTTAATATTATGTTTGAAAAAAAAAATAGGCATGTTCAGAATTTGAACATAGTCCCTCATACCCACTACCCCTTATTCAGGAAAGATATCCCAGCCCTTCAGAAATATCTATCCTGAACCAAGCCACCTCTCTCGGAAGAAAAACTACCTGTTTGGTGCTTTTTCAGTAATCAGTTCAGTAACCAATAATTTTCAATCTATTACAACTTAGATACCCGCGTCTTGTTTTGGCATAAAGTTTAGCAGAGTGATTCATACTAGGTGTACTATATTCATAGCTTTTTGCCAGACCAAACTAAACCTAGTAAATATTGATACAAACAAACGAATTTCGTTACGGATGAAATCCAAGGTGACATGAAATTTAACATAGTTTTATTTTGTTTCACGATCAAGTTTTGACGTGGTATTAACAGCCATTTTTGGATGGAGAGCAAACTGTCGAATACAAATATCGAATTAATTCCATCGTTAAACTATTGACTGATGAATGTCAGACAGACATATTTAAGCAAACTTTTGTTTTAATTATCTCACCCTAATCAAGGCGATAATGCTACTACGAAGCAAGGGGTTACTAGGTGAGAAAGAGAATAAAAAAAAAAACTATAAGGAACCGGAAAGAGAAAAAAAAAGAGAAAAACTCCTACTCCTGTTCAAAAGACGGGGAATGAGTGTGGACGCGGCGATAGACACTTTTGTATTTATTGGTATATTTAATAGTAGGTATTTTTCATATGAAAGTCTTTGCAATTAATTGGGTTCGATAGTTTCTGGCATTACAGTGACAAGTCCTTAATCTAAGTATCTGGTGATAGGATAAAAGACAAGGATGAATGGATTCATGTTTTTCTCATGGTCATTCACCGACTTAAATATTTTTATAGAAAGAGGTGTTAAAAGGTTTTCGATTCGGCCTAGAAACTTTTTAAAACTTATTCGATCATTTGATCGGATTTGGATAAGTGGGACGGGCCGAGAATTTTTCAGTACGCCCCGTATATTTATGTAAGTATAACCGAGTCAAAAAAACATTTATCTTATACAACAAATATTAATTTTTCAGCATAACCTGCTTCCTTAAGTACATTGCATAAAACCTTAGCGATTTCCTCTTACTCACATAGGTCCTTGTCAGATATAATAAGTAAGAGGCTTTTCTATGTTTATTAAAGGCTCTTACAGTCATAGGAGAGTGATTTACTTCAAATATTTACTCACTAGCACTTTCATCATATATAACAACGGGGAGAGAAGATCTTGTTTCGTCAATCTTCCAAATGTGGATTGCTTGCCTGCCCTAAAAGTCACCATTCAAAATCCTGGGTATATGCATAATCTCGACCACTGATCTCTGGCATCAGAGAAAAATACGCAACTATTTCAGTTATAAGTTAATCAGGTTCAGAGTTAAATGAAGGAAATTGCAAAAGAGAAAGATTGTGCTGTACCAATCTACCAACTGAGGAAGTCTGCCTGGTTTGAAAAACAGTATCTAAAATCGTGGCTTTTATCTGAACCTTTCGGGCACCAGTATGAAACAGGCAACTACCTCAGCCACTAGACAAAGCTTCTATATACAGGTATTTAGTAAGCTTAGCTCAGTCTGGCAAAAGCCACAATTGGTGAGGGTCGACCTCTCTCGTAATGAACTGTGAGATTACTTATGAACAGTTGCTGTACAGTAGGAACTCTAATACTTACTAAGGCCACGACAGTAAAGATCATATTAGCGAATTGGTCAGTAAAACAAACTTGCTATCTACGGTACTTTAAAATAAACGCCCTTAGAAAACGATTGTCGTTAGTTAATAAGTTTAGCTGAGTTTCACACAAGGTTACAAGCATGGGGAACCCAGTGAGAATAGAACTCAATTTGCTGATCATTACAGCATAATTTAGGCTCCCTAAACTACTTAGAGTTTGGCAAAAGACCACAAATATAGAGCACCCAGTGAGAATCGAGCTCACTAGCCATTAATAATAAATCTGCAAGACCAGTTTGCTCACTATCATCTCACTACAAGACGCTCCTTAGAGAGCGATAGTTGATAGCATTGCACGTTCTCAAAATTATAGTTTGTGCTAAACTACAGAAGGCCAGAAGTGTAATCGTCGTTCAGCTCGCTGAACCGTGCTATGTTATGTAAATGTATATGTGCTAAATGCCAACATGTGAAAATTATAATATCATATATCGCTTACATGTTCCTGTAAAGAGAGGATTGCCCGTGGTTCACAAGCATTCCGCACATTCCATCCGCTCTGAAGATATTTTCGGAAATACTGGCACGGTTACTTGGTTGAGCCCGGGATAAAAAAATTCCTCGATGATTATTGAAAGTGTTATTATGTAAGCGTAGTTTGATACAAGGCCACAAAGAGGAAGAGTCCACTGAAGACCGAAATAATTAATAATGGTCAACAAAAAAAAACTCGTTAGATATTATACCACGCTGATGAAACGAAGTTATTAAACTAAGCTTAAGTTAATTCTGGGCCAAAGTCACAAACATAAAGAATCCAGTGAGAATCAAATTCACCACTAGGTCTTAATGGCCAATCAAAATAACTTACTATTACACCACGTCAATCATTACTGGAGTTTGATGTACATTAAATTATGACAGTGTAGCTTTTATTTGTATCAGCAACTCAAATTCAATTTTATCTGAGGTTGCATGTGTTTATTTCGTACTAAAGCCCTTGAGAAATCCATGAAACCACCTCTCTTTGTTTCATTACTGGGTATTTTGATAAAAATGTTTCAGCACTGGCCACCCAAATACGTCTTGCAATATAGCAACTGTAGTAATAAAGAGTTCACGATTAAGTATTGTTAATCAGCCCATTTTTTACTAGTATTTTTTTTTTGTTTTTTATTACAGCGGTTTCGGTCAATCAAATTTAAGGTCACCCAACAAAATTGCGAGAATTTAGAATCCGACTGTTTTGAATATTAGTTTTTATATTTCTACACGATTCTGTAAGTAGAATAAAAAAATAGGCATCTGAATTAAGTAAAACTTAGACGTTGTTACGTGATGTAGCAAGCACCTGTTATATGGGATGCACATTCAAATCATGTAATAAGCTACTCCTTGGAATGTTTGCAGTTTGGTTTGAAGGCCATTATATATATATGTATGAGTGCTGAAAAGTTATTGGTCCAAACACTCCCCCAAATCTTTGGTCGTTAAACGGCAGGATCTCGTATTAAAGAATTAACTCCTGTATCCTCTTGCACTTAATAAGGATGACAATACCGGTAACTTGGTTTTGCTCTTACGGCCACTTGGGTGGTAAGGCAACTCACTTATCTGTCAACAGTCGCAATATATCATTGACAATAAATTTTATTAAGATATCTGGTAATAGAAGAGAGCATAGGAAAAAAAAAATCCTGTTTTTCCCAACTGTATTCATATATCATTACTCAATATTAATCAATATCTACCAGAACTTATTTAGACGATTCTGCTATAGGTTCTTATATATATATATATATATATATATATATATATATATATATATATATGTACGAGGAAGTACACACGAACATATATTCGAATTTCGCTATGGCTAATGAAAAAAAGAAAAGAAAAAGTACAGAGATTATACGTGAAGTTTGCTTTTTTTTCGGAGAAAACTACAGCTGAATTCAGTAAGAAGGAAAAATATTTGACATGGTGAAACATCACGTTTACGATATGACTGACTTTCAAGAAGTAGAAATGACGAACATCTTAAAGAAGATGGCCACATAATCAATGAAGAACATTGTCAGACCATTGATAAGATATCTGAAGTGACAGATTTGTCAAGGAGTTCATGGCAGCGAATGTTAGCAGATGATTTGAAAATGGAACGGGCTTAGGCGAAATTTGCGTCCTATCTGCCCACAGAGGAGTAAACAAAAACAAAAGTTTGAATGTGTGTCATGATTTGAAGGAACATATTTACCCTATTCTACACACACACGCACACACATGTATATGTGTGTGTGTGTGTGTTTTGTGTATGTGCAGAGAGAGAGAGAGAGAGAGAGAGAGAGAGAGAGAGAGAGAGAGAGAGAGAGAGAGAGAGAGAGATGCATACACAGACTCACACAGAAAGAGAGAGAGAGAGAAAGATTGAAGGAGTGGTAACAAATATCTGTTAACTATTTTACATGACTGCTTTTAGAGTAGAACATTAATGTGTACACCAAAGATCACAACAATGGGTGTGGTCTCAACAGTGGGAGGAATAATTTTAGTGGGGTTGAAGCTTTGAGGTCGGGATATGACGTTCCTATTACGTCATTATTAAGTGAGGGGCAAACACTATTACCCCTCGTCTGAACAGTAACATTCATTGACCGAAATAAGGGAGTCGAACTTGGTGGGTGTGTCATTTTTTTCTGGGTAATCAAACTTTAGACAGCAAGGAAGGTGGTTATTAAATTAGAGTTGAGAGGAAGTCACGGAATGTTACGATTTGATACGATTATTCCCGAGAGAAGGCAATTTGTTCAAGGAAATGTTTCCGAGAATTTCGGATTAGCTCACTGTTGGTCTGTTCCTCTCTCAGGCTGTATCTATCAACCAGTGTGTCTGTTTGATAGCTATCTTTATCCACATATATGGGGTAGACAGCGAGGATCGAGTTCATTATAATTGTTATGATATACAAAATTACTATCAACCAATATTATAAATATTTACATAGATTTCAGTCTGTTCGCATCTTTCTATTTATTTTTCTAATCTAGCTATCTATCTTCTGATCTATCTATCTTCTAATCTATCTATCCCATCCTGTTCATATCTATCTATCTATCTATCCCATCCTGTTCATATCTATCTATCTATCTATCCCATCCTGTTCATATCTATCTATCTATCTATCTCATCCTGTTCATATCTATCTATCTATCTCATCCTGTTCATATCTATCTATCTATCTATCTATCTCATCCTGTTCATATCTATCTATCTCATCCTGTTCATATCTATCTATCTATCTATCTCATCCTGTTCATATCTATCTATCTATCTATCTATCTCATCCTGTTCATATCTATCTATCTATCTATCTATCTCATCCTGTTCATATCTATCTATCTATCTATCTATCTCATCCTGTTCATATCTATCTCATCCTGTTCATATCTCTATCTATCTATCTATCTCATCCTGTTCATATCTATCTCATCCTGTTCATATCTATCTATCTACCTCATCCTGTTCATATCTATCTATCTATCTATCTATCTATCTCATCCTGTTCATATCTATCTATCTATCTATCTATCTCAGCCTGTTCATCTATCTATCTATCTATCTATTTTCTAATCTATTTATTTAACTATTTTCTAAACTATCTATCTATATATTTTCTAACTTATCTGTCTTTTATTTTTTTTAATTGGTATCAAATAAGCAAGGCAGTACAGCCACTAGGACGCAAGAGGTTACAACGCGTGGAGGAATTAGGAACATAAACATTTGTAATGAGGAAAAAGAGAAAAGAGTAATCAGGTGGTCAGTAGATAGCGATTGACATTGCATTTAAATTTTTGCAGATTAAAATTGGCTGGAAAGTGTGAAGCCGGGAGAGAGTTCCACAAGTGAGAAGTGCGAGATAAGAAACTGTTAGTATAGAAGTTACGGCTACATCTAACCAGCTCAACTATAGAGATCACGCCGCCAGTCTAGTAATGCACTTAAATACAAAAATTCTAGGTACCATAGCGAAGAGCTCATCCAAACAATTACCATGAAAATATTTATAAAAAAAAGAGCACAGAGAGGCAACTTTACGGTGGTGGGCAAGTGACTGAAGCCGAGCCGCCAGATCATTACCAATAATATTGTTGATTCTTCTGCGAAGAGATATGATGAACCAATTCAGAATTGATTAGGGCCTCTGGGAGTGTCCCAAAAAGAGGCAGAAGGCTAATAGACCGATAGTTGATGGGTGGACGGTTCACTAGAGTTCTATGGCACGACAGATACACTATATTATGCGACTGTTGATCGGAGATGCCTATCCAAGCGCTGCCAAAGAGTTCGGGTACCTAACTATCAGTCGGAAGTAGCAGTCATTGCTAACCCGGTACACTCATAATGGAAAGTCACAGCCACAGGTTAGTTTGATCAGACAGTTAAATCATTGTGGCCCTGGTAAGAGAAAGAAAGAAAACCGGTAAACCATACCCTGAACAGGGAACAAGGGATGAACCTCTACTCCTATTCAATAGACATGGAAGGAGTGCAGACCGGACGATAGGTGAGCCTATCTACTCCTATTAACCTGTTAAAAATAAATTGCGAAAGAATTCCTATTAAGTAATGATTTAGTATAAGTTCTGGTGTTTACTATCAACCAAAAATCGGTATCATAAAACTTAATTTTTCAGTATTGATAAATAACAGTGGGTAAGCATATTATAAATTAAACAGGTTGGGGATCTATCTATCTATCTATCTATCTAATCTATCTATCTATCCCTAGCAATTTCTCGCATTAATTAAATAAACAAACAAAAGGTAGTGCAGATGAGATGGCGTATATATGGTCATGACGAGGACACTCTAAAAGACAAACTGAATCCCTATTAATAGTGACCGAGGACAATTCGGTAAAAAATAAATCGCATTCAGGCGAAGATATATATTGTAGTCTAAGGAATAAATAACAATAAACAACTCAATCATGGTCAAATTTCGTCGTTGTAAACGAAAAGAAAAAATGTCACAAGATGACACTAGTTCATAAGAACAAAGAGTAAAATTGAAAGAAAAAATGGAGATGAATGTTGGATCCATTATTATTTGTTGAAACAGTTCCGAAGAGTCATATCAGAAGTCGGAGGAACTGGAAATCCAAGGAAGAATCGAAATCATAACTAAAATCAGTAGAAATACTGGAGAGAGTGCTGAAGTATCAAGACTTGCTGTCATGTGATCTCCAGTGACAGCTTCCAGAGTGAAAATTTAATGTGTTATGATAAAAGAGAATCAAGTTTGTTAGATTTTGGATGTGGTTGTGTCAACGGGGCAAAATATGAAGAAGAAAGAAATCGAGAAACTGGTAAAATATCTGGGAACAGACGAACATGAAGATTAAAGGCATACCCATAACTCTTGGAGCACCTGGAACAGTGCCAAATATACTAAAATCGAGAGTGTTTGAATTAGAGATTCGCAGTATTAGATTGTCCAGAACACACCGCTGATAGGCTCTCTGACCACACTGAGGAAGGTCCTGGAGAAGAGTTGTTGTCATTCAATCTCCAGCGATAACCACCAGACAACTAAAAATAACAACAACAATAATTCATCAAATGTCTTATGCCTGTCTGTCTGTTATCATATAATAAGCTCCGTCCATGGAATTCTCACCATCCTTCTGTAAAACCATATTTCTGTTGACTCCTGTTTTCTTCTCATTCGTAGGGAGATTGCTCAGGATTCACTGTCATATAAGAAGATGGAAGTTTTTTTGTTTTTTTCTGTTTTTTCTTTTTGACAATAAGTATCATGCTAAATTGAACCCTTACTTTGTGACCGTCAAGTTAACTAAAGCGAATCTGATTCTTTTTAATTAACTGTATAAAGTAGACATCTAATTAAAAAAATCTTCCTAGTAAGAGAGCAAAATTATTAGTTTTACTGTTGTTTTCTTTCCATTCAACCAAATTAAAGGCTTAAAAAATCGTATGTTTACATTTGCAATGTGAGCAATAGTCACGAAGAGGCCATAAATGTTAATATTTCGCTTTATTTTTTTGGTCTTCTTCCCGTCTTCTTATCTCTCTTCTTTTCCGTATCTTTCTCCCAATATCTTTTATTCTCCTCGATTTCCTCTTCTTTACTGTCTACCTCCCTCTTCCCTCCTTTTTACCTTCTCCTATTTCTTCCTCCACTTCTTTTTTTACGTCTTCATTTGTATCTCTTCCCATTTCTTTCTACGTTACCTTTTCTTCCTCATCTTCTCTTTCTCCTATTCCTCCCACTTTAGTTTGAATTCTTCCTCTTCACATCCTTTTCGCCATTTTCGTCATCCATTTTTTTTTAATCACCCCTTCTTCCTCTATCCTTCTTCTTCCGCCTGCCCATTATTTTTTTTCTGTTTATTTAATCGCGTTTCCTTTTTTTTCTTCTGGTTTCTATTCTTTCTTTCCTTATTCCTTTATGTAAATTAATTCTTCTTCTTCTCTCTCTCTTTCTCTCTCTCTCTCTCTCTCTCTCTTACTTCATCTGCGTCGTCTTTTTATTATTATTATTTTCACTCCATCTTTCCGAATCACCTTGGAATAGAAGAGACATCTGGTATAAGTTAAAACTTTTTATTTATTTCGACGACAGGAAATGAATCCTCGAACAACCAAATGCAAGAGTTTTTTTCTACATTTGCTAACATAATCATATTTCCTCTTTTACTTCACTTTTCCCCCTTTCCCTCCAAAATAAACTGCACTCTGTGCCCCCGTTGGGCTTGGCCAGCACCCCACCGGTGGTGTTGTCTTGGCTACTATATTGCCTTCATCCTTTCCTTTCTCACTTATTTCCCTTACCCGCATCATTTTCTGTCGCTTACAGTTAATGTTGTTTATCTTTAATAACTTATTTTCCAATCGCATTAACACTACAATTAGAAAGTAAAATGTTTATACGGAGCCATTCATTAGTTATGATGAGGAGAACGATAGCGATGATTCTGCCAGCATCGAATTTTTTCATTAGGATTTATTTATTGGCCGGGTCACTACGATTAGACAAAACATATATACCGTTTTAAATTAAGAAAATAAATAAACATCTTTGAAGTTCTTGAATAATTGTCATTATCGCCATTTCTTGAATTTGAATAAAGATATCTGACGGTACTATTTTTCAAAAAAGTTAAAGAAAACTAAAAAAAAAAAACTAAAAAAAAATCGTCCTGTATTTCTATATGGGAAGTTGAAGTCCTCTCTCTGTTCATTTTATCCTCAACACTCACCGTAGGCTATAGTTTGACTCCAGACAGTCACTTATATCAACTTTAAACATGCTATATTGCTTAACTTGCTTTTTATATACAGTAATGTTTTGTGCGATAGCTAAAATATTTTTGCAATGTTTCGTAATGTATTGAAAGCTTGCTTTAAACATGCTTAAGTTCAAAAGAATGCTCTTTTCTGAATATGAGCTGCTGAAATGAGGGGGTGGGTATAAGATGTCTGTGCATTTTATTTCTTGAAATATAATAAATTATTATATCTTCATTTTTATTACGTTTATTATGTTGCAGCAGGTTCACTCTTCTTCAGCGTTTCATAATTTCACACATTCTTCGAACTAGAATCTTCATAATTGTTGTTTTCGCCATTGTGTTTTGACCAGATTGTATTCTATTATCCTGCGTATTGTTTAAAGTTATTCCATGCACTATTCAAATTACTATCCTCACTATTATTGCTTTGATCGTGTGAAACTTTGAAGGATTTTAGATCTAAAGCAGCCACTGTTGAAAGTATTAATTTACAAACAGATCGATCTCAGAAAGAAGTCTAGCAAAATAACAAGAAATTAATTCACAATTGATTAAAGAAAAATGACTTACGAAGACAATTACACATGAATTTTCAAAATTAACTCCTTCTGAGGTAAACACTTTTCATAGCGTAATACAAGCAAATACTACTGTTTTATATTAATTTTATTTTGGTTTCAGTTTCTGAGATGAGGTTTTATCATTATTATACACGTATTTATTTGAACTGATGCCCTCACCATAGTTGTGATAGCTGCAACATTTACCCCGCAATGCCATCATTCTTCTTCAGCTGCCTGTACTAGTTGGTAGCTTTTGGGATATTTCGAAACAAAACCTTTAATCAATCCACGGAGGTAAAGAGTACTAAACTGTTATTTAATGTATGTCAGTGAATATTGGAGAATCTCTTCAAAGATGAAAAGATTTGAGGAAACAGAAATGTGGTTCTATAGAAGAATGCTATGAATTACATGGCCTGAACATATAAGTAATGAAGAAGTTTTATGGAAAATGGAAGCAAAAATGACGCTTAAATATCTATAAATTTATATACGCACAGGTTCTACGAAACTCACTAATTGTCTCTACCTACCCTGAAGATGAGTTAAGAAAGTCGAAGCGTAGACAATTTTTCTTGTACTTTTCTGATGGAATTTCTTCTATGTCTGAGAAGGATTATTCGTAATTTCGAAAAGTCGATCATTAAAATTAATCGATACAAAATATAAGTCGTTTTGTTTTAAATACCCTGAAGATATATATATATATATATATATAAAGAATTAAAGGATTTTATTTATTATTCAGACATTTTTATTACTTTAAATGTTAACTTTAGTGGATGTCCATATTTGAGTAAGCACTCTGTTTATTTTAAACACCATTTTATTTCATCTACCGGCCTGAACGTTCGAAAAATATTATTAGGGCGCATTTTGTTTAATAAGATTTCTCGAATGTTCAGGCCGGTAGACGAAAATAAAATACTGTTTAAAATGTACGGAGCATCTACTCAAATATGGGTATTCACTAAAAATAACGTTATATATATATATATATATATATATATATATATATATATATATAATGAAAAAATAACATGTAATGTCCATGTTTTGAAGAGACAAGAGAAGAAGAATCCCCGTGTCAGAGTGTGAATCGAGACAATTACATACACAAAGCAATAAGTTATGGGAATTTTGGAGGCTAAAATTTAAGGTTCAGTCTTTCCTGATGAAAGACTCCAATATGATGTCTAATTCCATGCTTAGCCTACTGAAGCCTAGCATTCAGACTGCTTATTTTTCAATCGCCTGTAAACTTCGCATTAAATTGAACAGCCTATGACAGACTGTGAAGCAACATTAAGGTTTCAAAATTCGTGAGATTATTAACCTTTGGCTGGATACTAAGCTTCCATTCTAGTGGAAGGCAGAGAGAAGACTTAAGAACGCCGACATGAAAAATAAAATTTGACGGTTAACCTTGATGTTCGCATGTAATTGCATTTATGGTCGCATGATAGTTGGCAGCTGTTGTCTTCGCATTTGTAAGTATATTCCTTTCTTGGTGGGTGGTAAGAGGAAGGAGAGTCGTTTTTTGCTGTTGGAGTGGTTCTATGGCCACCAGAAGGTAACTCTTTTGTCTTTGTTTCGCCGGTAAGGGCGTAGTGGACAAATAACAGAAAGATGTCCCACATCAAACAATTCAATCAAAACCAATCTTGTACCATATAAATCTCAGCTTAGAAAATACCAATTCAGTGATTGTTTAATAGATGTTGTCGAACTTGTTCATTTTGTAAAACTAGGTTCGCCTGAGAAAAAAACGATACTAATTTTATGACGATTTTGAAAATATTTTATTTTCGTGGGAAAAATTTACCTTGCAGAAAACTAAATTTTTCAACCGCAAAATTTATTTTTTATTTCTAAATTTTACCAGTTTTAAGGTCACTCAAATTTTTATTC